GTGTGTAAGGCAAAGAATTATGGGTGTAAAGCAAAGTATTGTGGGTGTAAGGCAAAATATTGTGGGTGTAAAGCAAATCATTATGAGTGTAAAGCTAAGCATTGTGGGTGTAAGGCAAAGCATTATGGGTGTAAAGCAAAGTATTGTGGGTGTAAGGCAAAGCTTTGTGGGTGTAAGGCAAAGCTTTGTGGGTGTAAACTGTTAATTTAAAGAAAGTGAAATATTATGTTTCTATAGTGTTCGCATACCTTCCTGACAATTGGACTGCCATCATGCTGTACACTAAGTAGAGTTAACCCTACGTTGTGATCAATATTATTGGCATGGTCTGTCCTCTCAGCACAATTACCAATAAATGTACCCAAAGCAAGAACTGCGGCCGCTCTAACCTGAAAAGTAGAAATCTTTTCAATTGTTTTGGAAATTTAAATTGATTTTCATGATTTTTCAACTGCTAATTTAAATTCTGTATGTTAACCACCCAATTAAGATTCTACAACAGCAAGTGGGTATCAAAAACCAGTACACAAGATTTTAAGGGAGGCAAGTATCACAGATTAAAAACAATATTAAACAACATTTTTCCAGATTCCTTGATACAGTCTGAGGAACTGACAAATTCCTAATTAAATTCAGTAACCCACCTCCGGTAAAGGGTCATTTAGCAGTGAATAAAGTTTTTCATGTGCACTATCACGTACACCACACCATCGAGCTGCATCAAAGTTTGTCCATATCCTAGCGAGACACAGTGCAAGCCATTGTCGCAATAAATGATGCTGATCTGATAGTTGATCTAAACATATTGCAATAAGATTTCCTTGTAGACATGCTTCCTACAGACAAAGAATATAGCAGGGTAAGTGTGAGTGAAAAATATACAAGCATTAGAATAATAGCCTTGAAGAAAATCTAATTAATCCTTGGGCTAATTCAGACACAGAACAGGGCTAACCTCAAGGCCTTGCAAGTCACGCCTCTGAAATCATTCATGGATGCAAACTTCACTCATATACAATTTATCATCATAATTACAGCATAAAATCACTGCTATATCCACTACAGGATATGTAATGACTAATAAGCGACAAAAAGATAATTTGATAAGGACATGTTTTCCAAAGCTAAACTTGAAAGGAACTGATCTTGATTGTTTAGGGTTTATCATCAAACAAACATGTCAGTGTAGTGTTCTGTTCTGATCACAGTTATTATGGTATCACATAATTTCTCTCAGCAATATACAAAGCATTTAGTTGAGAAGATCTTCATCTACAGTAAACAAGTATACAAAGATGTGTGACTAGTATATCACAAATGGAAAGTTTTCATACCTGTCCATTGTTATAGTTATGTACTATCATAGCTAAAACAAATGCCGCCATTGTCCGGTGTTCAGCCTGAAAATAAATAGTTTAGTTGACAGTTTTCTATCATGTCAAAAAAATATGATGTATGATAAAGGCTTGCTTGTTCCATTTGGTCCCATGGGAGTAAAACACATTATGATACTTTTACATGACATTTTAAAACATAAACACAAAGTTACAGTCACTAATAAAATTGTCATACTTACTGGCATGTAGGGATCTGCTAAAACTGATAAAAAGTACTTGTGACCATTGTCTCTGACAAGATCACTTTGGCACGACTGTAAGAAATCCGATATTTTCATATTCAAAAAATTATTTTTAGGCAAGAAATTTATTACTGTCAAATCATACATATACAATATTCAATCGTAAGCTAAGTTTATTTCCTGTAACGATGATGGTAATACTACTTTTTTTTGTACTAGAATTATTAAGAAATCAAGATAAACTTAAAGCATGGATGAATAGGAGACATAAGGTTATGGTTTTGCACTTACACTATCGACAGCAAGAATCTTGGCCCATATAAAAACTAAAAGTGGCCTGAGTTCTCGTGCTGAACTCTGGAGAAGTTTAAGAACATAAGGAAAGATACCAACAGATAAAGCCTGCAACAAAAGATATTATAGATTGTTAGATAAAAATATATATCACACACGAGCTGAAAAGTACATGGAAAATATGTGGCAAAGTTACTTGCTCCTCCAGAGCTATCAAAATATGGTCTTTTCTATAGTGCATACAATATACCGTATATACCAGCAGCTACCAATGAAAATACCCTCCAAGGCCTCTCAAATCAGAAATAAGTCATTGACCTACATCTTTTAATCGCAAAGTATTGTGTTCCATATGGGTCCCATGCAATATGTAATGTACAACATTTGAACAAACGCAGAAAATGACTGTCACTTTAGATTAATGAATGCTATTCCAAGTTAATGTGAAACTTGTGAAGTGAGTCTCTACCACTACTAGTACAGAAAATCATAAAACTATAGAACTTTCATAATGCATGTACAGGACAGAAATGAACAATGTGATCAATCAGTGACAAACACTTTGCATCCAGTATCAAACACAGACACTTACAAGACTGACAGCCCATGGACCAAGGTCAAGAAACCTTCCGAGAAGATCCAACGCTCTCAGTCTGTGAACTTGGCTTAATAGCACCTGCAAAGAGACACATCAAAGATAAGCATGGAAAAACAAAATGCATATACTCACGTACATATAAGTATTATTTTCAGCAAATAGTGGTCAAAAGCAATGTGTTCACCATCTCACCCTGTGGCATTATGAAGGCTATTCATGAAATTTAGAATTTTGAAACCAGTATTGTGTAATAACCTAGAATTACTACTGTTTTAAATACATGAATGTCAACAATTTAAATGAAAACTTTTTCACTATTTGACATTGTAATTCCAGAAGTCTACTAGAATAAAACAGTGCTGAAAAACTACAATCATCAAAACTCCCATAGCTCTACAGAGGACACTTTCATGACGAGTCTGTCCTCCTTCATACAACCCTGTCGATTTGTCTGATGTAATCATTGTAATGTTTTAATAGATATAGACTGGTGGTGTTCATCTCTCCTCTCAAACCAAGTATACCAACCTGTAAAACAATTGGTAATTGTTCTGGTGGGTTTCTTTTTTCATCACCCAGTGTCAGCCATACTTGAAATGCAGTTAACTGTTCAGCAAAGAACGGACTGTGTTTATAATCTGCCTGTGTGCTTGTGGTTGATAACTGTGATAGACAGTGATCCACTGCTAAATCCCATGCTTGCCTACAATTAGAAAACAACATTACTCCCAGTGAGAATCTAGATACCGTATTAAATAAGAAATAAGAATTCAGGATGGACACAAAGTGAACTGGTTGTTTATATGACTTTGAGGTTAGAAATTGAATAAATGATTGGTACCAGTAAGTATTAATACTTGTACCGTATTACCCCGGGCACGCGCCCCTCCCTGGGCAAGCGCCCACCCCCCTGTTTTCACAAAAGTTACATGTTGGGGACATCCTCGGTTAAACGCCCAGGGTGATTTTTAGCCAAGAATTAGGTCAACAATAAAGTTGTATTTGTCAAAAACGAACGAGTTTGATTTATTTAAATAGTGTGTTCGTTACGGTAGTTCTCTTTTTGGAGTGTGTGGTGGCCCTGAAAAGGGCCGTTTTGTTTGTGTTTTTACGTAAAAACTCATTTGAAGAGCATCGCCAGGCGATGGACGCGGGGCTCTTTGGCAACGACCAAAAACGTATCCGTGTCCAGCCATTGGTTGGCCACGTAGAGGTCAAAATACGCGTTCTATTTTTACGCGTTAAGTTTGGCTCTTCCGTTTCACCCCATCCGGAATGTTCTACTTTCGCAGCCTAATCGCAGGTTTTTCGAAAAACGTCGAAAAAACACAAGAATTAGTGGAAATGTTTCTATTTGGGGCGGATTATTGATAATGTCTTTACAAAAATGCTGAAAAACCGTGAGTTTTTGCCTTAGTTATTTTTTT